GCCGTAGTTAGGAACTTTTGTCCTGCCCTTGTTGTTCTCGGGCTAGGTTCTCTGGGGTTGACTTGCTATCAAAAAAATTAAATACATATTTTTCAATTATTATTAAAGACGAAAATAATTTGGTTTCGATTCATATCAGTTTAAACGTAATAAAATATGAATGCAGTAACTTACGATATTATCAAAACCGTGCTATACTCTTCTTATAAAAGTCTGCGCGCATCCAATAGGTTCCGGAGTAGAAAATGGTGGTTGAATTATTTGACGTATTAAATCGTTGTAACAATAAAACGTAATTACAATGTACACATGTGTTTGTTGAAATATAATTATAAATTTAATAATTTGTAAATTTTGAAAAAAGTAGTAGTATAGATAGAAAATACATAATATGTGAAATGTATCAAATATTATAAATAGACACGGAGTGACAAATTTAAGGATTTTTGTCTAAAATGTAGATTTTAAAAGAATATAAACCATATTTAAAACATGTATTAATATTTTAAATACATTTTTTTTATTTTGGGATATTGCATAATTAATTATTACCAGATTGAAAATATTAGTGAGAGTTTATATTATATATTTTATATCATAAAAGTTATTAAATATTGAGATAGAAAATTTGCTTGAATAATTTTTGAAGGAGAAAAATGGAAAAGTTTTTACAGGTTATAAATGTTTTTGATACATGATTTTGAATTTGATGATGGGATAAAAAATAATAACAACATTAAATATTAAATTAATGATTTTGAGGCTAGGTAAGTTTTATATTAAATTATATCTCATTGAAACGAAATTCCGAAAAATCTATCCTTGTAAAAAAGGCAAAGTATATTAATCAGAAATTGCTCGAGGCATTTGGAGACAGTTTTGCCTAAAGTGATGGCATAGTATTTGCTCCATATCTGATAAAACCGCCAATTATGTTACGAAGGAAGCATCGGGTTTTTCGAATCAAAAGAGAGTATAAAAAATGATAAAAGTAGCAACTACGAAATTGTGATATTTGCAAAATTTAATAAAATACGTTGTTATTATTTCTATGAGACTGACATGGAAAATAAATTGTTAAGGTTTTGATCATGATTTTAGATTTAGTGTTGGAAACAATATATATATTATATCACAGAAGTTGTTTAATATTGGAATAGAAAATTTACTTGAATAATTTTTGAAGGAGAAAAATGGAAAAGTTTCTACAGGTTATAAATGTTTTTGATACATGATTTTGAATTTGATGATGGGATAAAAAATAATAACAACATTAAATATTAAATTAATGATTTTGAGGCGAGNGTGTGGGAGCGAGAGGAGATTGCAGATTTTAAAGATATAGAACTAGAAACGTAGGCAAGTCGGCTACGCCGACTTGACGTTTCTCTCGGGCCTTCGGCTCTCGGGCCGCGCAGCGCGCGGTGTGAGCTCCGCTTCGCGGAGCATTTTTTTGCAGAAATGTTTTTTAAATCATCAACACCAACTTCTCTAACTACTTTACCAATATTTGCATCATCATAATCTACATTATCTACAACGTATCACTATCATGTACATCATCATCTACATCAACATGATGTATATTACCATCATCCACATATTTGTTATCTATATCTGGAACAATACATTATCATTATCTATATTATTAAATAATGAAATAATGTATAACGTTATTTATTTGTCTCTGCTGTAATTATAAATTGCAAAACATATTTGATGATTTTTTTTTTGTATATTGGTATACTTTTTGATGAATTTTATCTGAAATTTGGAATTTAAGAATGATTATAGATCCAAAAACTTTCTAGTCGATGTAATGTTATTAGTGATTCTAATTCTATTACACACTTCATTACATTACATATATTGATAAAAATTTGTTGAAATTATATAGTTTATTAAANAAAAAATTATATTTCAAATAATTGATATTTGGGCACAAATAAAAAGTGATGAAATACCTACTTTATAGAAAAATGAATATATGTGTTACATATGTAATTTATATTATATAGAATTTTCATGGAATATTTTCTAGGTTTTGTTTAGTTATTGTTATGATAATTGGCCAATAGTTTTTTAAATTTAGAATTTTTAGACAGACTTGTTTTTAGATTAAGGTAATAACTTTTTGCATTTAAAGTTAAAATAAATGTAGATGACATGAAGTTTTTGTAATTTACGAATTTGAAAGTATTGGCAATTAATGTTTTTTTTTTCATAAAAATATTAAATTTGTGGAAAAAAATATTTTTGGTTTGTACCTTAAGTTTTTAGACTTTCATTGCATTTCCTTAGCCGTAGTTAGGAACTTTTGTCCTGCCCTTGTTGTTCTCGGGCTAGGTTCTCTGGGGTTGACTTGCTATCAAAAAAATTAAATACATATTTTTCAATTATTATTAAAGACGAAAATAATTTGGTTTCGATTCATATCAGTTTAAACGTAATAAAATATGAATGCAGTAACTTACGATATTATCAAAACCGTGCTATACTCTTCTTATAAAAGTCTGCGCGCATCCAATAGGTTCCAGAGTAGAAAATGGTGGTTGAATTATTTGACGTATTAAATCGTTGTAACAATAAAACGTAATTACAATGTACACATGTGTTTGTTGAAATATAATTATAAATTTAATAATTTGTAAATTTTGAAAAAAAAAGTAGTAGTATAGATAGAAAATACATAATATGTGAAATAAATGAAACATTATAAACAGACACGGAGTGACAAATTTAAGGATTTTTGTCTAAAATGTAGATTTGAAAAGAATATAAAACCATATTTAAAACATGTATTAATATTTTAAATACATTTTTTTTTTATTTATTGGGATATTGGATAATTAATTATTGGCAGATTGAAAGTATCAGTGAGAGTTTATATTATATATTTTATATCATAAAAGTTATTAAATATTGGGATAGAAAATTTACTTGAATAATTTTTGAAGGAGAAAAAGTTTTTACAGGTTATAAATGTTTTTGAATTTGAAGATGGGATAAAAAATAATAACAACATTAAATATTAAATTAATGTTTTTGAGGCGAGGTAAGTTATTATGTTAAATTATATCTCACTGAAACAAAATTCCGAAAAATCTGTCCTTGTAAAAAAGGCAAAGTATATTAATCAGAAATTGCTCGAGGCATTTGGAGACAGTTTTGCCTAAAGTGATGGCATAGTATTTGCTCCATATCTGATAAAACCGCCAATTATGTTACGAAGGAAGCATCGGATGTTTCGAATCAATAGAGAGTATAAAAAAATGATAAAAGTAGCAATTACGAAATTGTGATATTTGCATAATTTAATAAAATACATTGTTATTATTTTTATATGAGACTGACATTGAAAATAAATTATTAAGGTTTTGATACTTGATTTTAGATTTAGTTTTGGAAAAAATATATATTTTATATAATAAAATTTGTTAAATATTGGGATAGAAAATTTACTGGAATAATTTTTGAAGGAGAAAAATGGAAAAGTTTTTACAGGTTATAAATATTTTTGATATATGATTTTGAATTTCATGATGGGATAAAAAATAATAACAACATTAAATATTAAATTAATGTTTTTGAGGCGAGGTAAGTTATTATTTTAAATTATATCTCACTGAAACGAAATTCCGAAAAATCTATCCTTGTAAAAAAGGCAAAGTATATTAATCAGAAATTGCTCGAGGCATTTGGAGACAGTTTTGCCTAAAGTGATGGCATAGTATTTGCTCCATATCTGATAAAACCGCCAATTATGTTACAAAGGAAGCATCGGATTTTTCAAATCAATAGAGAGTATAAAAAAATGATAAAAGTAGCAATTATGAAATTGTGATATTTGTATAATTTAATAAAATACATTGTTATTATTTCCCTATATGAGATTGACATTGAAAATAAATTATTAAGGTTTTAATACATGATTTTAGATTTAGTGTTGAAAAAAATAATAACAAACACACTATATAAATGATTTCAAAGTAAGATGAAATGTAACTTTTGGAAATGAAATTTGGAATAATATATCCTTCTATATAAGGCAAGGTATATTAAGGATTGCTCGAAAGCATATAAGGGCAGTTGTATTTAAAATTGTATAACGTTTGCCTGATATCTGATACCAAGTGCCAAAAATTAGAAGGAAGTATTGCTTTTTTCCATTTGACAGAAAAAATTCTCGTATATGAAAATTAGAAAAAAAGATATTATGGTATTGCACGATGTAGTTGAATCACCAATATTATTTTTCCATAGAAAAATAAAGAAACGAAATTGAAAGTAGACTTATTGAAATATATTTCTTATTTCCGATTATACATTTGCTATAAATAGCAAAACATTTTCCCTATTCGAAGATCAAAACATGTTGTTTTATTAGATTTAAAGCAACTGTTTGCACAATGCCAAATTAGCGTATGCTCATGATCAATAGAAATATAGGGAAAATAAATAATTCTTGTAACAGAATAATTATAATCGGAAAAGTTTGTCTACTAAAAGTAAAATATTATATTGACGTACTTGCAAAAATGTTACACGTATTACTGTTTTGTAATCATAATATCTGTCTGGACTTTGTTAAAGGCGAGAATTTTAATTTATGACAACATATGTGCCAAAATGTCGGATGGAAAAGGAAATACTGAAAACATATTTAGAGTAGTAGATGAGATTATCAAATAGGGAAAAAGTTCAGTGACTGATCTTTATGAAAAATTTATCTCAAACTACTATACACAAAATTTAGAGAGAGGTCTCATGGATGAGGTGTGAAATAAAAGATTTCATAGGACCTCTCTGTATACAATATTTCTTGTATATACGTTTTCGCTATTTGGTAAAAGTTTACCTTGTTGCGAGGATTCCTTTATACATATCTGAATATCTTGTAGATCTCTAACCCTAGAGAAAGCGACATACAGCTGTCCGTGCGAGAAGACAGGTTCATCCAGATATATCCCTACTTTTTGGAATGTTTGCCCTTGTGATTTGTGAATAGTCATAGCGTAGGCCAGACGAAGCGGAAATTGTCGTCTCTTAAGTTTAAAAGGTAGAACGTCAACCGCTGTCTTTAAATCTATTCGAGGAATGAATACCCTTTCGCCAGTAGGCCTGCCTACACTGTTTATTTTTTCTACATCTAGGTACTGATCTCCTAGTACTCGCACAATAAGTCTCGTACCATTGCACAGTCCTTTTTTAAGATTTAGATTGCGTAGAAGCATTACTATAGCACCTTCTTTTAGGACTAATTTATGCGGTGGCATTCCGTTGGGGGTAAGGGAATTTAGAAATTCTACTGTGTAATTGGCTACTTCGGCTGCTGGATCGTCAGTGATATCGACGTTGTCAGCGTTGAAGTAAGTTTTACTTTCCCCCGGTAATTTATTTAAAATTGTTTGGTTAATGCTATGACTGGAATTGTTAGTAGGTACTAAAATTGCCTTCAGGGTAGCTACCGTAGGATCTACGTCGTCAAAGCAAAACTCTATAATGTCCTCTATTCGGTTGACATAGCATTCATGGGGAATTTGTATTATGTTACCATATGGTGTTCGTCTCAGTGGCTCTAAGGTCCCATTGCCTAAGTCTAGGAGCCATCTGGAGAACTCTTCATTTTCTTCGGCCCTTATGTTGGTACGTAATATATAGTTTAAAAACTGAGGCCAATGTCGACTGCTTTTTATGCAGGCGTTTACAATGGTACATCTATTTCCTCCGACAACGACTGGCAGTGTTTGTCTAAAGTCTCCTCCTAATAGCACTACTTTGTTACCGAAAGGCCTATTATCGTTGCAGATATCTCTTAAGGCTCGTTCGATAATATTGAATGTAAGGTTTGTGACCATCGATATTTCGTCTATTATTAGGAGGGGAGCCGTTGCTAGGCAGCGACCTTCCGCTGAACGTGGAGTTACGCCGCTTGTTGTCGTTTCATTAATGTCGAAAGGTAATTTGAATGTGGAGTGGAGAGTACGACCTCCTTTTAGTAGCGATGCGGCGATGCCGGTTGGAGAGGTTACCAGAACGGGCAACCCTTCACCGCGTAGTTTTGTGATAATAGTTTGAAATAGGTACGACTTGCCTGATCCGGCTGGAGCATCGACTAAGAAAAGTCGACGGGACTCGGTGGGATCATGAATGGCAGTCATTATCGCTTCGCATACGATTCTTTGTTCTTGGTTAAGATTGTCGTACATTTCTTGACCTTCTAGTCGTTCCGTTTCTACGTTAATGGGATCGACTTCTATTCTTATCTCTTCCGGTTCTGGTAAACCGTAGAGTGCTAGCCTTGTTCCGTTCAACAGTAAAACGGTTTGAATGGATCGTAAAGTTCTTTGAAGCCCTTCCTCGTCGGATAGGCCGCGGCGCTGAAAATCTTCCATAAAATGGGCTTTGAATTCTTCCCAAAGCGCTCGCGTATCCGAAATTTCGCAAAAGATTAGCATGAAGGCAAACATATTTCTCAGTTGTTGAGGCATATCTCTTGCGCAAGCTTCTCTTAGGGCTCTTTTCCATTCTGTGTCGTCGGCTAGTAAGTTGCGGTTTTGGCAAGCTTCTCTGAAAGTACCGTAAAGTACATTGTTTACTGTGCGTAAGTCCTCGTAGGAACGTGATCCCTGAACATGTAACAATAATAAACGTAGGTAGTACAGTTCTTGGTTCCTTACGCTTACTGAGTACATTCGTACCACGATTTTATCCGCACCTCTCTGTCTACGTTTCCAACGTTTGGTGCGTGTTTCCCATGTATAATGGTAAGGAATATCTATATATCGATATTGCCGAGCTTCGGCATCATTTTGATTAAGTATAAACCAAGCTGTTAATTGCGTGACTTCGTTGCGTTGCATGGCTTGTATTTCCAATCCTGGTTGGAATCTAACCATTTGCCTTTCTGGTAGGTGTACGCATAGTCGATATACGGTATGAGAATGTTTGTGCATGGGAAATTTATTAATGTGCCAACAGGCTTCCGTTGGACTCATATATCTGCCATTGAGGAAGTTTTCTACTTCATTGTACTCGTTTGTATTATCTATGTTGACTCTTAGGAGTGCCATGTCTGCTCCTTTGAAAAAGTACTTGTATAGATATTTAACACTGTGCACGCTGGCGCATGCCTCTACGTTGATATGGCAGTTGTATTTTAGTAGGGCGTATGGGTTGTACGGTACGATCCAACGGTTGTCTAAAACACAATTTCTGTTATTAGCTCTTACCGTAATAGTTCTACCATTATTCGGTCTTTTGTACTCAATCTGCCCTCTTTGTGATACCGTAGTTTTTTCACAGAATGATTTAGGATATTTTTTGGAGCATTCTCCATTGACCATACAGACTGACTGAGGGTTTAATTCACCACATGGTCCATGCACCATGCAGGAAGTTACTATTTGGAATAGCTCAGGTTCTGTTTGTGGATCGGGTATTTCTGCACTAATCATGGCGTCTATTTTTAAAATATCTGTCAATCTGTCCTCATTTCTTAGGATCAGTAAGTTATGACAGTGAGGTAACCCTCTCTTTTGGAATTCAATGACATAGAGATTGGCTATCGGTATACCAAACACTTGGGATTTAAGCATGTCTTCCATGAGTTCGTCTACTTTGCCCTGAAATACTCTGTCTATTAGAGAGGGATGGTCGTTGGCTAAGTGACCTCTGGGAATATTGTCTATAATTTCCCTCCAGTGAGTATTTGTGGTCATGGTGAGGAATATACTGGGCGTACCATAGCGACCTACTACTGCCATGGCATCCTGAAATAATTGTTGTTGGTGCCGAGGAGAGCCGACAAAAGTAGAAGGCAAAATGATCATCCTGCCTAATGTCGCGCCTTCGTCTTCCTCGTCATTATTTTGTATTGTGCGGTGAAGGTAATCTGCCAGTCCTACATATTCAGCCGCTCTTAGCCGTTCTTGATTGGCTAATATATATTTTAGGCGGTTATTTTCTATTTTAATGTAGGAAGCAACAGCAAATTGTTGAGTTAATCTGCCCCCATAGTGAAATCGTTGTTCGTTGTCCCTGATGGCTAAGCGATAGGCAGAGTATTCGCAGAGAGTTACATTGCGTGCATTATTCCTATAAGGGATGCCTATGTGCCAACCGGGTTCACCGCGAGGAAATAAAAGGGGAAATACCAGGGGATCAAGCAGTTCGTTTTGTTCGGTGATGTTTTGAAATCTGCCCGGTTGATCACGTACGTATATACGCATATTTGGTGTTGCGGGAGTGTCTGGTAATATATTGTAAATGGCGGCAACTTCTTCCACCACTGGCAAGTCATACTGACGTCTATTAGCTCCGTGAACACTTAATAGTTCTAGAGTGACTGTGGGCATTTCCAGAGGCAGCGGCTCTATATTATTTCTAATCGCCTCTGCTCGAAGTCTATCGATAGTCTGCAACTCAAAATTATAACGGTTACATAAGTGCATATAAGCTCTTGCGTAGGGATTAATATCTCTAAGCAATCGCTCTAATTGAACAATTAATTCTCTGTTTAAAATACCGTTATTATTATCATATCTTTGATTTACGGCTACTTCTGGGTCAAGAAAGTAGATAGGTCCAAAGCGTTGTACCGGCTGGTTAACATTTACACCGGATATATGATGGTACACTTTACCTTGAATAACATACACTGGCGGTGCTCGACCTAAGGGTAAATCTCTTAAATTAGCTTCCAAGGACACAAATTGAAAGGCATAGTTATATAAAAGTACAAACCTTTTAAAATGATTGGATAGAGGATGGGTACCTTGGAAAAGCTGTTTAAGTAAATTGGGTAGAGTTGGTAAAGGATCTAAAACGATATTACCTTTTTGACAACATTTTGAATAATAGTTACGCACTGTCATTTCTGCTGGAAAATAGAGAGCATAACAGTATTCGCACACCCTATTGAGAGGACCCAAGTACGAAACTCCACGTCTTAAGACACGTTCGCTCGCCATGAGGTATGTAGGTATGTGGTTACCTACGTTCCGTAGTCTGTTTATTTCCAGCTGAATTTCCTCCCTAGTTGTTGCACGATTGGGCTGACCAGCATTTTCAGGAACATTTTGTTCGATGTTGGCAAGTGTTGCCTCAATAGCTTCCATCTGAGAATGTGTGAACGCAGGAAGCATTTCGCTATCGTCCTCGTTCAATATTTCTATATTGTCTGGAAAATAAAAAAAAATTGAGAATATATTGATAGGCAAAATGATTTGATGCAATATTTACCAACTTGAATTAAATCCCAAACTTCTGATTGCGTTTCAGCGGCCCGAGTTGATTGATTTAAATTAACGTTAACAGGCATTTTCTCGTGGCCGTCGTTGTTTTTGTCATAGGTTGTATTATGCACTATAGCTTTTACGGTTATTATTTCGGCCACATCATTGTCAGAATCATCAGAATCATCTGAAAATGATCTTTTCCTCGTGTTCACAGGAAAAGCTATCATAAAATGTTTATATTTAATTAGAGTGACAAAGAATGATTATTTTATCACAAACAACTGTACAATTTTATTTTGTTTTATAAACCAATGCCCAAACATAAATTTATGTTTATTTAATTTTTAACTTTGATTATTTACAAAGAAAAAATTTTAAGAATGTTCTATGAGTTGTTATAAATCATAAAATTTTAATATTATTTATTTCTATATGACACATGTTGAGTCATCGATCTGTTGTTTTTAATAATAATATTTAATTTACAGAGGATCTTTTATCTGCTTTTTAAAATTTTTATATAAATTATCTATAATGGGTGATTCAGATGTAATCTGGATAACTTCTGGAATCGATAGAACAGGTTAAAATTATGTTCATTCAAGATATAAACTTATTTCCTAAATCGTATCGTTTCGGAGATAGAGGGCGTTGAAGTAAATTTTTTTTCCAGCTTTTCCCTCATAACTTTTGAACCATTCATCTGATTGAGGTGAAATTCAGAGCACAAACACTCCTTATGATCTTTCATAAGCTTCTTAAGTTTGACCCACCTACCTCACTTAGAAGTGTATTTTGTATATTAGTTCCCCCCTACATTATTTCAAAATGAAAAAAATATATATTAACTTCAATAAAACAGTTGTACACCACTTTTGTCTCATTAAGGTTGAAACTTTTTCGTCTCTGGTTTTCTTTTCGATATTTGGCCTTATTTCTGAGATATTCAATAAAATTCGTGACAGTGTAGCGTCCCAACGCGTAAATTGCATTTGACGTTATAGCAACCCATGAAAAATAAATCTCAATGATTTGTATAAACTAACGTTTGTGAAAATCATCGTTAAAAGTATTTTTAGTGCTAAAAAATCTCCGAAACGATGCAATTAAGGAAATAAGTGTATATCATGAATGAACATAATTTTAACATGTTCTATCGATTCCTGAAGTTATCCAGATTAAACCTGAATCACCCTGTATAGATAAAAAAATATTTGTATATTAATTAATTCCTAGGAGAAGAAAAAATAATTAAATTGTATTAAATATCATTTGTTAATAAATTTTAAGAACAATTCATATTCGTGTCTGCAATAATACAGGGTGGGCCACCAGTAACGTCTCGGTCGCTAGGGACTAAACGGCAAATGTTATAGAAACCTGTTTAGGTGAGTACATGTAGGTTGATTACGGGTACATTTTAAAAATATTTTGAAATATACAGGGTGTCCAGGAAAAGCGTACCATATCAAAGTTATATATTTTTAAATGGAACAGCTTGTATTTTACTGCATTTTTGAAAGCACTGTAAAAAATAGGTGAATTTTATTAAAGGTTTTGCATACCTAGGACTTATTGTTTGTGAAATATTTCAATTTTAGTGAAAGGGCTGGCTTAACGTAGAAATTTAATGTTAGCAATTAAAAAATAATTTTAAGGAAGCAGCTTTTAGATCCTTGAAGTTACAAATTATTATATTTGTCGTCACTTAGTATTGTACAGAGTGTTTAAAAAACTGCTGAATACTTCTTTCAACTTTAAACAGGTATAACTTCGTTATTTTAAATGGGACACCCAGTATATTTTCACTTTGGAAGTAAGGAAATTTAAAACTCTTTCGAACTGACCTGTATTTAACGGTATTGGAGATATTTGTGCCGTTTCGTTTTTTTTATTTTTTTTTGTGAGATGTATCCACGTGTTTTCATTGAGGTCTTTTATTGAATTGGTTTAGGTTCTTCTTGATGACATCTCTTTAAATATAAGGAGAAAAATGAGGATGCAATTAAATGGCTAACTTTCAAATTTTTTGTATTTAATGAAAAATTATTTAAATCGAAAATTTATTAACTAATGGATAAGTAAGAATGGTGCATGCCAGTGGCCACCTAGGTATCCAGACCTTATTGTAACGGACTTCTTTGTTTCAGACTATATCGCTACTTGCGATGATATGAGGGAAAAGATTAGAGATGCACTTGCCGTAATCACCCCAGATATTCTAAGGAATGTGAGAATATCATTTGAAGATAGAATAAGATGTTGTATTCAAGAGAATGGTTATCAATTCGATCATCAATTAACATTTTTCTTTGTTTCTTCTAAAAGTAAAATTTCTTTTAATATATATTTTTCATGTTCCTAATTAATTTAATTCAGTTCAGTACAATAAACGTATTTATACAAAATTAATAACTTGTTATAATTATTCTGCTTATAAAATAATATTTTTTATTAGAAAACTTTCTTGAATATTGTCATGACTGACGCTTTACCAACTCAATAAAGATCTCGATAAAGACACGTGGTTACATTTTATAAAAAATTCGATAACAAAAGAAAGGGCACAAATATCTCCAATACTGTTAGAGATAGGTGTAGGGAACCTAACACAGTTCGAAAGAGTTTTAAATTTCCTAACTTCCAGAGTAAAAATACACTGGGTGTCCCATTTAAAATAACCAAGTTATTGCTGTTTAAAGTTGAGAGAAGTATTCAGCAATTTTTTGAACGCCCTGTACAATACTAAGTGAAGACAAATATAATGATTTGTAACTTCAGGGATCTAAAATACACTCTCCAAAGCTGCTTCCTTAAAATTATTTTTTTATTGCTAACATTAAATTTCTACACTAAGCCCTCGTTTCACTAATATTGAAATATCTCACAAACAATAAGTCCCAGGTATGCAGCATCTTTAATAAAGTTCACCTATTTTTCACGGTGCTTTCAAAAATGCAGTAAAATTCCATTTAAAAATACATAACATTGATATGATACGCTTTCTCTGGACACCCTGTATATTTCAAAATATTTTTAAAATTCAACCATAATCAACCTACACATACTCATCAAAACAGGTTTCTATAACATTTGCCGTTTGGTCCCTAGCCACCAAGGTGGCTCACCATATACAGGGTGATTCAGAACTTATCCAAAAAAAAATTCAGCATGTACAGGGGACCCTTACAAATACAATTTTGTAAAGAAAAAATCAAAAAGGGCAATTCGAAAATGATTTAAAAATACACTTCTGCGCGGCACTGGAAACTGGTCCACTGCAAAACCTGACCTCGCACAATGCGACCGGCATGGCAGTGTGATAAAAACGGACAAAAACTTTTGCAAGGAAAGAAATATGTAAATAGAATTTACAACTGCTTTTGCCTTTTTTAATTAATAAAATTAATTTGTGTTTTCAAATAATAAAATCATTTGACATACCCGATGTTACAACAATTGTTCAAAATTTTATCCACCATTGTGTAAACACATTTGGGTCCGTTGTATTCAGTTTCTACGAACTAACACAAATGTTGTTTGTTTCACCAAAACACAAATGCTTCACGATAAATTAAAACGATAACCATCAACTCCGAGTAAACGCAAACAATTTTTGACACTAACTACCTATTTTTGACACTAACTACTAAAAACTAACTGTAAACACGACAGATAACAGGTAAATATCGCAACGACGATTGCAAAATCCGAATTCAGTATTCGAAGTCGCTGAGGCCACGTGGCGAATGACGCTAGAGACTACAGTTGTCCAGTTATGTAGTGATTGAATGTTCTATAACTTCAATATTTTTTTTTCTCGGAAACTATAAGGATTTTACAAACATTTTTTTTACGATTTTGATTCCATTTATCATGCTGCATCTATTCCCAAATTTTTTTGGATAAGTTGTGAATCACCCTGTATAAATAAATAAATATGTTAATATACAGGGTGGTCTCGAGCTAATGGTCCAAAATTCATGAGTAGAATCGCCAAGCAAAAATATTGCGATATAGCCGAACTTACCTTAGTCCAAAAGTTGATAGTTAAAGAGATACAGGGTGTTAAATGTAAAATATTATTTCAATGCAAATATCCTCACAAATTTTTGGGGTTTGGAGTTCTTTGGGTAGAGGAATTGAAATCTGTTAACATTTTGGTTAAAGTTCATAGAGGGCGCTAGCTGCAATAGATTGAATGTGTTAAAAACAACATAACTTTTTTGTACTTTAAGGTATCTCACCTTTGGTATTAAATTCTTATTTTCCAACATTTTTTACACAAAAAAGGTATGCTTTATGAAAGTAGCTACCTCGCACCGTTTTCAAGATATTTGGCTTTGAAGCTTCCATTGCTGTTGCATTAAATTACAATTAAGTACCGACAGGTATTATTAATTCAGCGGCAAGTTTCTTAAGTAAGATTTGGAGGAAAATCAAATAATTGACGTTTTTGTCAATTGTCTTATTGCTAATTTATATTAAATATTATTCGTACCTAATTAAAATTATATACATAAATGTGGGATAGAATGCCGAGATTTTCGTTTTTGGAGTTACATGAATTCAGTTGTTTATGGAGAAACTATAAACACCTGAGAAGAACTTTTGCAGCAGATTTTAACTGCTGGAAAGTCATTTCGCGTTAAGGATTTATACTTTAAAATAAGACATTTTTTTAATGAATGCGATGATAAATGTATTGAACTTAGAGGTGGACATTTTAAGTAATTATTGTCAAAAAGGCATATTTTTTACTAATGTTTACTATTTTACTGTTCATTACAATTTTTTATTCTAAATAAACCCTTGTTTTTGACATTTCTAAATTATTTTCATTATTTCAAGTGTTTCAAAGCCGAATATATCACAAATATATCGGAAACGGTGCGAGACAGCTACTTTCATAAAGTCTACCTTTTTTGTGTAAAAAAGTTGGAAAATAAGAATTTGATATCAAAGATGAGATACTTACCTACCTTAAAGTACAAAAAAGTTATGTCGTTTCCAACACATTCAATCTACGGCAGCTGGCACCCTCTATGAACTATAACCAAAATGTGAACAAATTTCAATTCCTCTATCCAAAGAAGCCCAAACCCCAAAATTTTGTGTAGATATTTTTAGATTTATTAAGAAATGGAAATAAACTAAGATAATATTTTACATTTAACACCCTGTATCTCTTTAACTATCAACTTTTAGACTAAGGTAAGTTCGGCTAAATCGCAATATTTTTGCTTGGGAAATCTACCCATGAATTGTGGCCCATTACCTCGGGACCACTCTGTATTTAGTGTAACAAAGATTTATTTTTTATGAAATATATTAATATTATAAGTATTAGAAGTATGACTCTTTAATCTATAAGGTTTATAGAATTATTTTATGACAATGAGTAATACTCGTATATATATTTACCTGAGGTTGATATTCCTCTTGAAGTAGAAGGTCGTGATTCCGAAAAGTCTTGTATAGAACCATCCTTTAGTTTGGAAGCATTATATTTATGGGATTTGTTTACTAATGGTTGAATTATTTCTTCCTCGTCCTCAGAGGGTTTCGTAGAGTAATAGGAAACTCTAGTTTTACCTTTCTCAACATTAGTAGTTAAATGTTTTTCGGGAGGTTTAATACAAATATTTTGTAAAATTTGAATTTTTTTCTGAGGTAGGGAATTATCAGTGACTGTAAATGGTTCTGAGTTAACAGAAATATTATTCTCAGGTAATTGTAAATGAGTAGGTTTAATTTTGGGACGTGTGGATTGACCTTTAATATCGGTGCCTTTTCGTTGGGTTAGCCTTTTTTTGCCTTTTTTCGGCATTGCGAATCAGTAAGATTAGCTGTAATAGAACAAAATATGTTGTACAAAATATATGAGAATATTTAGATCTTATCAGCATTCTAAATAGTGATATTAGTTTGTTACATCAGTGATTTATTGTAGAGGTTTTATGAGGAAGGAAAAGAATGTTATAAAAATGATGGTTTTTGTTCTTCGGAAATCATCAAAAATGTTTAGTTTAATTTATTATGTATTAATAAGTAGACGGATAAAAAATTATTAAATTATTAGTGGCATACATGTTGGTAATTGTTATAAATACAACAAAATAAGAATTTTGAATGAAACTACGCAAGGGCGTTGACAGCCATTGGGCTAGGGGGGGGGGCAAAATAAGAGAGACGATGGGAGAAATATAAATTGTAAGTAGAAATAGGAACAGTGAATTAATTTTTTTTAAGTATTTTTAATAAAACATTTTCAATACAAAAAAAAACAAAAAAAATACAAATAACTAAAAAATAAATAAAATCAACGAAAATTAGGTAAAACAATCTCGAATTTTTTGAAAATTTGTCTACCAATTATTAATAACATCTTCATGATTGTCAAAAATAAGCTTTCTGTGTATACTCATCATTGCTAAGCCATTGAAATGATTTTGTACCATAGTATTTCTTAGCCAGGTTTTTATTCTTCTTTTTTTTTAATTTTAAATTCCAGAGCTAAATTTTTAAAATATGGAAATATAGAAATGTATTACTTTTTAACACAAAATTTTACATTTTTAAATTCTTTTTTCAACAAATATTGTAATTTTCAAAATTTTCAAGTTCAAGTAGGTAAATAAAACATTTTATTAAAAATTTCCAAAGTAATATTTTCTTAGTTTAAGAAAATGATTATACCTACTTTTTTAGAATTTGTAGGTGGTCGGCAGCCACCCCTTGGCGACGCCCTTGAAACTGCGTAATGTACAAATAGATAGTTTATTAATTTTTTGAACATGTTTTGAATTTTTTAAGATTGAAAATTTTAAATTTATCTTATTAATATTAAAAGTGAATCATGTTAAAGTTATAATAGTAATAGTAAACGAAAAGAAACGATTTTTATCAAAATTAATTTAATTTCAGACGTACTTTTGGTAAGGGATAAAATTGAAATATGATTCTGTTAAATTAACTTGAAAAGGTTATTTTAATCTTAACAATTCAAAATTAGCCTTTTTATATTTTTTTAATATAATTTGACAATGTATTATAATATATATATATATTTGAAAAATATTCACTTGAAATATATAAAATTTCTTTAAATGTTTGCCTTTGAAATCAGAAATTTTTCCAAATTAACAGTATTTTATTACGGAAATTTTTCAAAATGTTTTGTAAAAATGTAGTTTTTAAATGAATTTTAAGTAATTTAAAGTAATTTTAAGTAATGAAAATAAAACAGTATTAACAAAATTATAATTTTGTTAAAATGTATATTCATTATACAAAAAAGGCCGTTCAGCTTTAAAATTTTTAATAATTTATTAAAAGCTTTTGATGTCTTGTATCTTTCCAATGAGAGAATATTAAATTTAAAGGTCTATCTAGTAATAAAATATTGTTATTCTATATGCATGCAGATGCGCCCACATATACGTGCACACACACGTATGCAGGCGCGCGCACATTTTTTATTCCAATATCAAACTTTTGGAACAGGTAAGTTTTGCAAAAATAATTCTTCATAAGTGCAATTCAAGAAAATTCAATATTTGAGATATAGGGCGGTAGTTATATTTTAAAAAATTATATTCTTGAATATTGTCTGAATGCATTTCATAAAATAATTGTTCTTTAAGAAATGGTATTGTGAGTAATTTCAGTGATACATCGTTGAGAAATCACAAATAGTATTGTTTTTCCAAAATAAATACTCCGTATCTCAAAAATAAGATTTCTTTTAAATTTTGAGGTCTGCCCTCAGATAAAGTTTAGCATGTGTAATTTAGGATATCTGTGTATTTATTTTTGAAAAACATTTTAATTTTTTGTCTTATACGTTTAAAAATATAGGGTGCTAATAAAATATAGGTTGGTCCCAATTGTGTAAGCTAAATTTTACTTTTTAAATGAGAAAATCCGAAAATAAAAGAAAGAAATTACAAATATGTCTGAAGTGTTGAATTTGATCTTGAAAGCGTTTTTTTTATTATTATTGAAAAGGCCCCGAACATAAGCAAATGAAAACTAACAGAGAATTTAATGTTTTATCTATTTTAATAGAAAACGAAAATAAATTTAATTTTTTTATATACAAAAATTGCCATTATGTTCTTTATATTTATAATTATTTAATTTTTGAGTGGAAGTCATTGAAGCTAAAAAAAAACAGTGTTTGATTAATTATATAGGAAATATTTTTAGTCAGTAATGAAATCAAGACATTTTTTGTATACAAAGTTTAAATATCAAAATTGTAGTCTTAAATAAGCGCGAAAATAACACATCGTCCTTGAATAATTTAAGTTTATATACCTACAGTTATTTTGACTGTCGTCGTACCTCATCATCCCGTGTTGCACTTACCATTAGGTTGCGGCTCTCAGGGTTTCTGGACATGTTATATGCTTCTCGCGCTGTCGCGCTGGACTCTGCTCGAGATGTAGCTAACCTGGTAATATTGCGCTTATGCATGGCTAGGTGAGAGGACGCGATCTAATTTGTAACAACTTGTCGTTCCCTTAGATAGGATGTAAGAGAGGTTTGACTCTAACAAAGGGAATTTGGAAGAATGATATGAGATATAGGATCGGTATTGGAAAGATAGGTGAAAAGTGACTTTAAGCGCCAAT